CATATAGAAAAGGTTTTCAGTTTTGTGATCTTATAAATTAAGTGCCATTAAGGTGAGAAGTATTACAAGAAGGTATATTTATATGGCAGTATAATTTATGTGATAGAAAAATGTCATTTGGTGTGTAAGCCTGCAAAAGAGTTCTCATCGGCTTTGGGTAATGAGGAAAGAATTAATGAAGGAAGTGGTGTCCATAAGCTGTGAGGAATCATTGTACAGAATCTAGTTGAGATATCCAAGGAGCAGTTACATTTATGTATATCTTTTGAATTTCTAATTGGTATCTCAAGCTTCACATGTCTCCCATAGTTTGATATGGTGTAACTGCACCCCTCCAAGGACTCAGGGGTAGAAGGTTTGGTTCTCAGCATAATCCTGGCAGTTGGTGCAGCATACAGAGAGGGCATTTAGTTAAGTAAGGATTAGGTAGTTCTCTTTCATCACTATGGTCCTCCTGAGAGGCAGAGGGTCCTTGATTAAGGATCAGTCCCAGCTTCTCTTCTCTTCTATGCCCCTGGTTCTCCATCTAATCATCTTGCTTGACACAGTCCTTTCCAGATTGTCTATGCTGTGAGGTGATGTAGCCAAGTGTCATACTTATCATAGTCCTCGTTTGCTGTCTTTTGTACTTTGAATCTTTGACGTTGTGAGCTGAACAAACCTCTTTTTTCTTAAGTAGACTGTGTCCAGTATTTATTTACAGTGATGCAAAGATAATTTATAAAACATTATTAGTAAATATTAATAAAACAAAACTCAACTTTTCTAATAATGCATTTTTCTATGTGTTTGATATTCTTTTCTTGCTATATTATCATAGGTTTCCAGCCTTTGATAGAGAAATTGTGCTTCTTAATTTCTTTTAGTCAGGTACAAGTTCTTTTGGATTTCTAGTCTTATTTCCTTCTGGCATCCTCTCCTTTACCTTATATTTGCTTGGACAACTGCAGTAGGCTCAAAGCTACTGTGTCTAGTATTTCTTTTTCATTTCATAATTCACATAGCTGCTGGTTGGGATTTTCAAAGTGCAAACTTGGTCATATCAATTTCTTAGTATATTTCCATTTATAGCTCTCAGCAAATCGTATACTGTTTAATTGCTTGCTTTTGGAATTTTACTGGCATTTTTTAGCTACCTCCTCAAGGTCTTAAAATTTGGGGTGAGGCCTTGTTACTCTGACTCATTTTCTTATTTGTAGTCTTCTGCTTTTATTGTTGGCAGTTTTATCCGTCCAGGATATTTAGTTTGCTTTTCCTTCACAATTAGATGTTGCTGACCAGAAGTCCTGACCATGTTCCATTCCACTCTCTTTCCACAACCTAACACTTTGAGGACCATATTATATGCACACTAATAAGTATTTATTTTACAATGGAAAATAGGTTGATTGAAGATAAATCATGAAAATGTCTCTTAGAGATGCCCACAGTCCAATCTGATGGAGGCAGTTCTTCTGTGGTGACTTTAGTTCATGTCAGATTGACAAAAACAAAACCAGCATAATATTTAAAAAGTATGGTAGACAAGGCCAAAAAAGTACGTCGTCCACAAACTTTTAACTTGAAAGACTTTAGTTTATTAATGTTTGTATATTTCAGGCAGTGCATTTTGATCATATACACACCCACTCCCCAAATCTATTTCCACATCCCTATTCACTCACCTTCCTGTCTTCTTTGTTTTTTTTTTTTTTTTTTAAATGTTTGAAGTCCAAAGTATGTTGCCCCAAATCTCTTGGATTTGGGGCCAACTTCTGGATCATGGTTGACCTACCATGTGTCACACTCTTCAAACGTACTCTCACTCCGACCCTCAGTAGTTATCAATTGCCAATAGGTCCGCAGCTAAGGAGTGGGACTTGTCGCCCTCCTACTCTGTCCACGCTGTGATGTTGTTTAGCTTTTGCTTGTCAAAGTCGTGCACATACTGTTCACAACCACTGTTCGTATGTGCAAAGGCCTTGTGTCTGGAAAACACGTTTTCCTTGTTTCACTTCTGGCTCTTAACAATCTTTGTTTCCTCTACTACAACAGTCCTTATCCTTATCGGGTGTGTATGATACCAATGCACCATTTTGGGAATCAGTTCTATCCCTATACTATGTGGATTCCAGGCATTGAACTCAGGTTAGCAGGCTGCTTAGCTATCTTTCTGGCCTGTTTTTTTAGGTTTTTGAGGAGCTGCCGCATCAATTTTAAGTGTCTGCACTACTTTATATTCCCAACAGCAATGCTTAAAGACTTCTCTTACCCTCCATACACATTAGAATTTATTGTTTGTTTTGTTGAGGATAGTCACCCTCAACAAAGGAGTGAAGTAAAATGTCAAGGCAGCATTTCATTGTTGGCTAAGTATATTAAATATGTTTTACAGTATTTATTGGCCTTTTGTATTGCTACTTTTGAGGTATGTCTGTTCATTGATTTTACTCTATTGATGGGAAAATTTGATTTTGGTCTTCAACTTGTGGACTTGCAGTTAGATTCTAGATGTTAATCTCTTGTTGGATATGCAAAGATTCTCTCATATTCTGTATATTGTCTATTCATTTAGCTAATGATTTCCTATACTGTGTACAAGATGGTTAATTTCACACCACACTGTTTTTGTTCTTGGGATTATTTCCTATGCTATCAGGATATTCTGAATTGTTAAATTAGTGTTTAGTGGTTTGTATTTACATTTAAAGACTTGTGGCACTGAGTAGGATTTTAAGTAGCTCAGCCACAGAATGATGAATGGTGGTCATTTGATTTGGAATTTGGTAGCTGATTTTTTTTTTTTTTTTAGTAAAGGAATTTTGCCAAGTTTTGGTAATGAAGTGTTCAGTTGGCTAGAAAAGTTGAGTATGAGATCAAAAAGTATGCTGAAAAAGCTAATTTAAAGGTAATAACTCAATTGCTTAGAGGGGCACCTGGGCTAGATGAAAGGCAGAGTACAAAGAGGCTGAAACGGCCACGAAGAAATACCTTACAAACACTCCTTTGGGGAGCTAAGCAGGAACAGAAAAGTGTGTATTGTGTTTTCTCTCTTGGGTCGAGCCTAGAGGGAAATGACCATGTGACAGAAGAATGGTGCTGCTAGAGGAAAAGACAGGGACCAGGGCAAGTAGGTTGACGCTCTGTATGGAATAGTTAAAGTATATTATATACATCATGAAAATGTTTCAATGAAACCCTATGTTGTGTATAATTTATAAATGTTAAAACCAAATTTAAAGGGAGGTAGATGAACCTATAAGCTGAAACATGATTTAGTTTGTGAATAAGTTACTTTATTAGGCCTGGCATTAGTATCCTTTTAGTTTAATTTTTTTAATAGGAGCATGTGTTTAGTGGAATCTTCATAGTGGTGGTCATGGTGGTGTGGTTTGCAAGATGTGAAGGGCATAATAGTTTAACATAACTCTTTTCTTAGTTATGTTAAAATTTAATTTTTTCACACAATATACTTTGATTATTTGTGAATTTTGAAACGTTTAAAAAATTGTATTCCTTCATTCATTCATTCGTGCACATGTGTACCATGATACATATGTGGAAGTCAAAGAACAGCTTTGAACAGAGAAATGACTTCCACCAGCTTCCATGTAGGTCCCAGTTACCAGACTCTGGTTGTTATGCTTGGCATCAAGCGCTATTACTCAATGAGCCATCTAGTAGGCCCATGTAGTATCCACAATGTGCCCCCCCCCCCCCGCCCCAGTTATCATTACAAAGAGACTGGGGGTGAATATGTAATATGCAATTTGTTTTTCTCTCTTGGCAGGTAGAAATTAAATTAACTTTTCTAATTCAAGGAATTTTGGTTCTGAAACCTAAAGATGCTTTTGTACTTTAAAGAATGGTGACAGTATACTATGCAGATGTGAAGGCATGGGGTAAAGTTTCATGTCTGCTTGTTGCTGGGAATCTAAGCTACTCTAGGAGTTTTTTAAAAATTGTCAAGCATTGTAAAAGCATTCATTATGGGAATGTGGCATGATTTCCACTGAGCAACTCAGATTGTAGAAACAGGAAATGTGACATTAAAAAAAAAATCTCAGATCTGTCACTTGATACAGACTCCTAACCCTCTTTCCATGTTATGGAGAAAATAACACACACACACACACACACACACACACACACACACACACACACACGCACACACGCACACACACACATACATTGATGACATAGAGATGTGCTTAGAATGTACTCACAGTCTGGAGGCACAAAGAAGTTGCATCTTTTTGTTTTAAAGTGCTGCATACTTGTTCTTGATTATGAGACAAAAGTCTATTTAAATTCTGTTCCCTTGGGATAGGTTTTAAATCTAGATGATGGCAAAGTGAAACTATTTGAATGCAAGATAGGGAAATGTGATGAGTGGCTATATAAATTAGAAAACTCATTGAACGCTGGATTTTATTATTTGCTTTCCTCCCAGAAGGTGTTGCACCAGGGACTTTGAAAATCTAATTTATCATTAATCTCTGTAAGATAGTGGGGATATGGTAAAAGAAAAGCAAACCAAACAGTTGATGTGTTTATGGCATGAAGTTGTGAACCACTGAAACTATTCAAACAGCACTTTTAACTCATATCGATGAACTCCTGATCTGTTTCAAGTGTCAGGTCCTGCAGGCGGAGGGTGGCAGCGAAGGCAGTGTACAATGCTTTGCTTTCTGCTGCTTTATTCAAAATCGCTATGATATTTAGGGACTTCTAAGAGAAATGCCATGGTCGGAGATAACTATGGGCCTGTTTGCTCTGTTGGGAATAGAAGGTCATGGTCCTCCATTTCAGGTTTTGTCTCTTTTCTTCTGAATAAATGATTTTGGAGGGACCTGGAGAGACTTAGAGAAAGACTTGTGGGCGACTTGTCAGGGCTCTGCCACTCCTTTTATGAAACCGATTCAGAAGTGTTTTATTGACAGATCATTAGCGCCATATTCTTATGTGAAGAATAATGCTTTTCATTTCCATCTCTCCACATCTCTTTTATTCTGTTTCAGTTTGAAAAAGAGTGTAGTGACCACCAAGAAACCCAGGCTCAATTGCAGAAAAAGGAGGCAAAGATTAATGAGCTTCAAGCAGAGTTACAAGCTTTTAAATCCCAGGTAAAATACCATCTTGAGTGAATTTGATTTTGAAATTATACCAGGGAAACAAAGGTCATATTATATTTTCACAGTTTCAAAATGTTTAAGCTTTATTTTTTCTTGTGTATTTTCTCAGTGTTATTCATACACATCTCTAGGCTGCTGTGTTTATGTTTTAAAGGTATTCTTTGTCACCTTTTTTCTCCCTGTGTCTGTAGGGTTATCCAGGCTTTTACTAATTAACTGGCTTCCTTCGGCTTCATTTGGAGTTTGCTTCTAAAGTCACATGTTTCCTAAGTAATTAAGTGTAAAGGTTAAGAAAGTTCTCTACTCTTAGATTTGTCATCCATCACTGATCTTTATCCTAGTACAGGAAATTATTGCTCAAGCTATTTATTTTTCCAAGCCTTCAGCCTATGGGTTGCCTTGCTGTGAAAGATAACCCCTAGCTGAATGAGAACATTTTCTGATAATTTTTCAATTTCCAAAAGTAAACAGATTTAAAACACGACAAAAAGAGCAAATCTGGATTATGAGCAGATAGCTCCCATACATGCTGTACACATAAGACACGAGATAAAAAGTACATCACCTGCATGCTTTATATGGATTATAGGAGGCACGTTCACAGGAAAATTTCCTCCTATAGATTTACGTACTAGATAATGAGTAATAATTGTAGTGTCACATTTCCTCTCATCCTAATTTATGGGTGGATGAAAACAGGCTCAGGTGTAGTTTCCAGTATTTACGGCCAATTTTGGTTTCTTTTGAATATGTCATTAGAAACACTTCCGGAGGATTCCCTGTTTTTTAAAAATTAAAACCTTTTGTAAACAAGACAATTCTTAGCCACATGTGGTGCTTTATGCCTGTCATCTTAGGTTTTCAGAGCCTGAGGCAGGAAAACTGCTGCGTTTGTGGCCAGCCTGTGCTACAGAGTGTGACTCTGAAAAAAATAAAAAGGGGTACTCTTCTCATTAGTTTTTTAATATTGCTGCAAGAAGTAACATGTATCCACAGAATTATTTTAAAAATAAGATTCTCATATTTAAATGAAATAATTTTTTTTGTATTTTATACTTTTTTACTTAAAAGTAATAGCTGAAATAATATTTGTGATTTTTTTTTTCTGTCTTGGGCTACTATTTATATCAGAATTTTCTTTTAAAAATTTCCCATTTGAAGGATTACTTCTTGACAATTCAGGATAATAAAAATATATCCATGACCTTTGGATAGGGTGCATTGTGTTTGTGATATAAAATGCGGAAATTTTATGATGTAAAACTGAAATAAAATGTAGGAATCTCCTGTTTTTTGAAACTTTGCATGATGACAATCTGTGTTCATGACTTTTGGAGGAGTACCTTGCTTTAATGACTTAAGATTACTATGCACATTCATTTTTAACAACCTATTTGTTTATATTTTCTTTCCCAACACTGTAACCTTTTTGTATTTGTATTATGCATATAAGTAGATACATGGATATATTTATATGTACATATAGGTAAGTTAGAATGTCAGTAATTTCAAGAAATTGCCATATTATAAAAAATAATCCTGAAGGTCTATTACATAATTACAGACCATTCACTAAATTCTCTGTATTCTGTCAGAATGTAACCACCAAAATGAGCAATAGATGCTCTGGTTTCTTTGCAGGTCCTGATTTAATTTTGTTTCTTAGTGACATTTGACTCTGTAGAGAGCTCCCATCCCCCTAAGAAATGAGTACTCTCTTACCTCATAATTGTGCCCCTTGCTTGCTTTTTACTCATTTTTAAAATTTATTTATCCCTTGCCTTTCTAAAGCCACTGTGTGTACCTGTCACAGTCTTTGAAGGATAAACCGAACAGTCACTTTCCTCATAAATTTTATATGCTATCAAAGAGATAATTGTCCATGGTCCTTTCAATAATTGCTTCCCAGCTTTGCCAAGAGCTTCTGAGCAGTGTGAAACAGACCAGAACGCAACTGAGTGGACAGATCAAGTTGTCCTGAGGAAGGGGCCTGTTTGTTCAGATTGAAAAAGCAAGTAGAGAATGCTTAGTAATCAAATGTCTGATCAAGAGGGACAACTTATATTTGGACCCTGAAATTAGAATGTGGTTGGCACATATATAGAATTAAGAGAAAATTGGTTAAAGGTATTCCAGAACCAGTGATATGTGCCTACACACACACACACACACACACACACACACACACACACACACACACACACACACACGACATGCTTAAGATCCTCTGTACAGAGGTTCCCTACTTCTGTATTCTTTCTGTGCACCCTGAGTGGACTTCATTCCTCACAAAGTTTCTAGTGTTACCTGGAGACTGCTTATTCTTTAATCTTCTTACCCCATGGAACCATTTCTATCATAACTGCTTCAAAATGGGCAAAATACCTTTTCTTGAGCATGAAAGCTATGTGTGTATGTTCAAATTGGAAGAAACACTTATAGAATTTCATAAGCCATTGCTAATTACTGGTATTTTTAATTTTATCTAGTAACTTCTTTTTAAATAAATGTGCTTTTACTATTTGTGCACATGTTCTTACTTTTTTTTTTTTTTTTTTTTTTTTTTTTTTTATTTCCTCTCTTCTCCAGTTTGGTGCCTTGCCACCTGGCACAAAAATTCCTTTGCAAGCTTCAGTGGAAGGTGACACTAGCCCTTCAGCCCTTCCTCCTGCCCCACCAGCCCTGTGTGGGGGAGTGCCGCCTCCCCCACCTCCTCCCCCGCCTCCTCCCCCGCCTCCCCCACTTCCAGGAATGGCAATGCCATTTGGTGGGCCAGTGCCACCACCACCTCCCCTGGGATGTCTCAGTGGGCACGGCTCTCTTCCATTAAACCTGCCATTTGGGTTGAAACCAAAGAAAGAATTCAAACCTGAAATCAGCATGAGAAGATTGAATTGGTTAAAGGTAAGACCCATTAGTGGGAGTGGACATATTTCTCCTTAGATTACTACTTCAGTTTAGACTTACTAATGCAGAGTTTCCAGAGGGAACTCGACTCCTAATGACAATATAGCACATGGCATATATGTGCATATCTTTTCTATATGCATTATTATTCTATATCGTAAGTATTGAAATCATTCCCTTTGCTACTGTCTAGTAATTTCTCTGTAAATTTGGTGAGAGTTGATAATTTCATGGAATTTACTGATATGGAGGGTGTCTCAGAAATGCTAAAGGTTAGTGTTTGGAGTTAGCTCTCCCTGTGGGGAACTGTTAGGGAGAGTACTGCCTGTTATTAGAAGCTTACACATAGGTGACCGACAGTCTCAATTATGCTGATCTTGAAATTGTGGGAGATTCTGTATGATGTTAACTCTCTTCAGGATTCAGAGTTCCAATGACCATTAATAATAACTGAGAACCATAGTTATGAAGAAACAAACTCCTGTACATGTAGCTTCAAATGCCCGACCATTTGGTCAAGGAAACTGTTTTCTTCTCCTCATAAGACCTCCATGTTCTGTAGAATATGTCTCTCACTGAGCCAACTCTGGGGACAGATCTTACAAAGCTGACTTCAACATCTGGAGCTGGGGATGCTGACCTGTGTGCTGTGATTGGCCAGGCAGGTGAACTGCCCAGCTGCTTGAGTCGCTCTCCTCTGATTGCAGATTGGACCAAATGAAATGTCTGAAAACTGTTTCTGGATAAAAGTAAATGAAAATAAGTATGAAAGTACGGATTTGCTTTGTAAACTGGAGAACACATTTTGTTGCCAACAAAAAGGTAAGTTTGATAATAGTTTGGTTATCAATTTATTTTGAAATTCTTAGCATTAGTAATTCATAATTACCAATCTGTAAAATACACTAAGAATCTTTTATTATGATACCTTTCCATTATTAATTGTATATAAAATGAACTAAAGAAAAGATTTCAAAGCATTTTTTCACATAGGTAAATCACATGAACAATTTTAAATTGAAAATGCTGACTCTGCGCGTTGTTTCTTAGATTTTCTATGAAAAATTATTTCAAAACTGTTCCGTTGAGTTAATTTAGTCTTCCCCCTGATGCCCTGTTTTCCAAGACAATGATAGGTGAAATCTACTTAGGCCTGTGTGTGTGTGTGTGTGTGTGTGTGTGTGTGTGTGTGTGTGTGTGTACGTACGAGAGAGGAATTGACTTATTAAATATATGCTGTTTACTAAGAACCATGCTAGATATAGTTCTTATATATGATTCGAATTGATCATCACACCAATTTATAAATATTGGGTGATCCTGAAAAGTTCATTTGTAGCCATTGAAATGGTTTCTAAAATATAATTTGAAATTAAAAACTCTCTCAAAGAAATAATTGTAAATTATAAACTTTGTCTAACAAGTAATTGTAGAATTACTAGGTATTTTAGAGCAGGATTTGTCTTGAATAAAATATTGAAAATTCTGTATTGTAGTCTTTAAAGATAGCAAAGAATTTTGACAAGCTCATGCAAGGAAAACTTGTGAAGTAAGCAGGTCTTAATTTTACCTTTTGATTATGGTGAATCAAAATTTCCTTTGAATAAGATTAGTTCAGTCTTCAGGCAATCAAGGGAAATGTGTGTAGTTAAAATATGTATTTACATGTAAAACACTTCAGAATTTCAGATTTCCTAATCTGGAATTGATTAGTTTTCCCTTTGCCTTGCTAGTAGGAAGAAATGGTGGTACCTCCATGCTATTTAAGTGAGGCTGCCACCCACCTACCCTTCTTTCCCCCTCTACTCTGATTACTTTCTTAATTAATGAGGCTCAAAAGGGAAACTTGTTAGCATGTCTTTAATTTAGCTGTAGTGTTAGCCCTAAATGAAATAATTGGACCTTTAAAAATTCTTAAGTTATCTAACTTTAGCCTTGAGATTCAAGGTTGCAAGGGGATAAAAAAGATACATTTGCTGATTCGAGTAGTAGTAGAAGAGATTAAGGTGAGAAATGATCATCCCTGTATGAGTATCCGTGTTCCCGTCCTCCTCTGCTTCCTATGGACCCCTTGGTGTGCAATCTCTCACTTGACGAAAGCCGACACGACACTGTGTTTTCTGCTCACATGCATCTTAGCTTTTGTTTATGTATTGGATCTGACTGTAAATGATATTTTTATGGTGCATAGGAAGAATTGGAAAACTCAGGTTTGTGTTCCTGAGCAATATGAACATTTCATAATTGCAACTAGACATGATCTGAGAAAGGACTATTTTTTATTTTGATCTCAGGGAATGATTCCCTGAGAGCAGTGCATGAAGAGACGTTGGTATGTTTCTGGCCTTTCTAGTCCTTAAGCATTTTAATTGAAAACGGCAGCCATTGTTGCTAATAGAGAGAAACATTGGTTTTGACAGTATAGCCATTTAGTAGGAATGATCCAAGTGAAAGGAAAGGGGGTGTTGAAAAGTCACATGAGAATGGGTTTGTGGTGTGGACAGGTTGCTGTATGTAGTCTCTGTTTTTGTCCTATCTGCCAAGGCATCATGTCTAAGTGCTGATATTTACCTATGTACCATGAGCCCAAAGTTTGTTACATTTTATAATTTCTGGAGAAGTCAGAATTAAAGCTGGCCCCTTAACATTTTTAGTCTACACGAAAATCCTATTCATTTCCTGAGACTCCTGTTTTGTGGGAGGTGGGAGTTTGTATAGAAGGACCAGCTAACATCATTTTAATCATTAGTATGCATTTTACGGAGCCAGGGGAAGGCAGAGTCTTTAATTACTGAAGATTGTGATGACATTATAGACAAATGGTGTGTTTTATTGCATTGAATCTTTGCAGTAAATATTTTTGATACTTCTTAGATTATAAAGATGGATGTCCAGTCCCAAGCATTTAACCGAGGAGATGATAATCCTGAATGTTTACTAAGCTTGGGAAATACATAATAGGAGTAAAGAGGGGATTCCTCTTTTTGGGGGGGGGGGGGGTTGTGGTGAGTATTTATCCTGTAGTCTTTACCGAGGACATCGGTTTAGTCTTCTGACACTTTTTTGTTCTGGTTGCTGGGATTTGTAGTTCTCACACCGTGCAAGGTGGGCAGGAACCCGCTATCCCCATTGAGCTCCAGTGCATCCACTCCTTCCTTCTCTCCTCCCTTTCACCCTTTGCCCATTCCCTTTCTTTTCACCTCCCCTCACCCCTTGTTTTTCTGTTGGCGGAAGGATCTCTCCGTGTAGCTTTGTCTGACTTAAAAGTCTCTGTGTAGAACAGACTGTCCTCAGATCACAGAAATCCCCCAGTTTTTGGCTCCAGAGTTCTGGGTTAAAGGTAAGCACCACCATGCCCGTCTGTGTAGTCTTTATGCCATCTTGTTTCATTTTTCCTGCGTACCAGCTGTTCTGCTGGTCATGAAGTAATTGTTTCTTTACACAGACCATAGTCACAGACTCACCTGACCATAGTCATAGAAAGGTCTTTTTGGTAAGGATATAGGATACGGACATTGTCTCTTAACCTTTGTTGGCTATGCATATGCATGTGTATTTCTCTATGAATGAATGTTTGGTATATGTGTGTATTAACCCTATATATTTTTCAGTTAGATCTCCATTTGTTTTTAATCTTTTTCCCCCATTTATATCACTCTTCTAATGAGAAAAGGTGATAGTCATCCCTTTAAAGGTGTAAATGCTCTAAGCTTTTCTTTTGGAAATGCAGATGGAAACTGTCCAAGCTTTTCCCTTTTCTTCTTCCTCCTATTTTACTCGTTCAACTTTCTCTCTCCATTGCACAACCACCATTCAAATCAACAGTACAGCTTCAGCTTTATCTTTGATGTTTGGAAATCTGGTCCGAATGAGGAGGACACATTCCCCCTCCTCCTCTTGCTTTTACAGTCGTGGGAAATCAGTAAGCTCAGCCAGGTTCTCCACTGAAGCATATGAGTGAAGAGCAGAACAAAACAAGCTGATTTTGATTTCAGAAGAGCTGACATAGTTTACTATCTTTGGCTTCTGTTAATACATAACAAGGTTATATAAAACACTTTATATCAAGTTTAATCACAATATTCATATTTTGAACATTTGGTATCATCAAAACACTGCTAATCTCTCTCTTTCTCTCTCTCTTTCACAAGATTGGAAGCATCTGTTAATTTTTTGCAGGCTGTTGGAAAATGGATTAAAGTATCCTAACAGGTTATTGGTGTTGCATTTGTCAACGAAAATTAATATTAATTACTTTCATTATTCACAAACTGTTAACTTAATAGGGATTAAAGGGCTTTCTGGAAGTATATGAATAGTCTAATTCATTTGGACTGATTTATTATGAAAATCTGGTTTCACATTTGTTAGCTTTTTGAAGTAATCACATTTTGTAACAGGTGTGTCATATTTTCCAGATATGGCTAATCAACTGGTTTATAAATAATTTTTCAACTGAATGGTCATAGCATTTGGAAATAGTTCATGTATTTTGTACTTAAGAACAAATCAAGCTTAGCTTTCTGATATCATAGTTCAGTGGACAAAGTGCTGGGGTGGCCAGTGATAAGCTGTGGATTATCACAGGGTCTTGGTTGTGTTCAAGATGTCACTTTGTATTGAAAACATAATTCTTTTTATACATAAAAGTGCATCAAATGTCCTAAACTACCAGAAAAACCTACCGTAAGGTGAATGTCTATAACGGAAAAATATGGTTCTTAGTTATACATGCTAATAAAGAGGTAATTCCCAAATGGGTGCAACCTAACTTACACAGAAAATGACATTTGACAAATACTAATTTATAAAGATTATGGAAAAATAAACTGGGAATTAAACATTTCTCTAGGGCCTATTACTCAGTCACATCTGTGTACTGAGTCTCATAAAATGTGAAACCATATGGAAATTATGAACTATGTAGTGAGAGCCTTGTTTAACAACGCTATCAGTTATACAGTATTCTTGTCACCCTTAGTATTAAATTATGGTAACAATTTTTCTTGGTGTGTTGGTAGCCATCATCTTATCTCACACCCTCTTCTTTTGATTTCTTTTGTTCTGTTTTCTGTATTCTCTGCCTAATTCCTCATTTATTTTATTAATTAAATGGAAATTTTACCCCTTTGCCCTCTTATATTAAGTATTCATCCCTCTTTAGTAAATTATTCTTTTTCTTTGTCTGCATTTACTTTTATAACCCAGGATCGTCCCTTTGAATTAGTGTGCATTATTATTGACCTAAAACTGCATATCCAGGCTCACTTTTCCAAGTACACTATTTTAATTCCCATACCCCAGCACCTCCTTTGACTGGCTTAGATCAGGACGAATTGCCTGGTGTTAGCAAAATGTCCCTGTTCCACTATTGGAGCGTGGGACGAGAGTCACAACAGTGAGTACTCATAAGTAGATGTCAGGAGCTTCTAGCTAGTTGTATGCTACTTTGACATCTGATATTAGATAGTAGAGCAAATCCTATTCTAAAGGAACATAGATTTTCTTCATTCAGTTAATGTATGTACTTTATAATTTTGGATTATAAATCTATAATTCTAACTTTAATCATAATGGAGTTATTGCAGAACTCAGGTTTTGATGTGATTATATGTTCATGTGTTAATGTAAGCCCAATCCCTGTTTCTGTCAAGGCTATGTTATTTGGGCATGTGACTTTATGCCTTATATATTTTGGTTCATGGCTGTCATGTTGTGTGCATTTGAATTGGGAAATAAGGATAGTAACTTTTGACACCAAGTTCTGTCTTGTCTAGGTGCATTGCTCATCGTTAAGAGATTTCAGAATTACATACACTTTA